GAACTTCTTCATTTTTGCTCTAAATTTCATCATTTTTGCTTCTTTTTTGCTCCAAGTCTTCAAAATCAACAACCTGCAATTAAACATAGAAAATACATTCAATTAAAGTGCAATATCACCAACTGATACTAGCGTCGTCGGCTTCAGAGGCCCGTATTTAAATCCCATGTTTATGTCAAATGCATCGTCGACGCCCAGTATGGCGCCCTCGGCACGGAATAAATTTTGAACTTCTTCATTTTTGCTTCTTTTTTGCTCCAAATCCTCAAAATCAACAACCTGCAATAAAACATAGAAAATACATTCAATTAAAGTGCAATATCACCAAAAATGAGTATAAAATATGGGTCTAAAAATACATATATTTTTGGTGTATCATTTACCCATCAATCTAATTATCCTAAAAGCATTTTTTATCTCTAAAACCTAATCCACCATAAAAATCCTCTCTTTCTAAGTCTTCTAAAGCATCCCTTAACCGACCCAAGCACTCTTGAGATCCGTTTCTTGGAGAGAGCTCAATTCAATATAAGTGTTTCTAATATTTATTTGATGTTAATTAGCAAATATTAGAGGAATAACATGACAGGAGTAAACATTCTAAATATGAGTTAATTAATTAGCAATATCATGGGAAAGATCTCGTACTCAAATACATCATATTACTATGCAACGCGAGTGAATTAGCAAATACTTATTTAGATGTTAATTTTTCTTACATCATTTTGAATAATATGTTTTATTGATGAACAATCTATATGTAGTAAAGTATTTTGATTAAGCAGCTCATCTCAAAATATGGTAATGCATTTCACAATAGAAAGCATTTCTTTTTAATAAAAGAATATTTATGTTGCTTTAGATTCAAATTCTTATATAAATCTAACTAATTCCTCTTTATTACTATTTAATTATTCAAGGATGCCTCTCTATTCTAAATTAAAGGCATCAACTTAATGTTGAACTATTTTGAAACTATCTAGATTTGTTAAATTTAAGCGAGGAGGATTTTTAACTCTTTGTTTTAATTTTATAAGAGATTGTGTATGGACTTATATCAAATAGTGGAGCAACATCAAAAGCTAAATTTTCATAAAATCAAAAAAATAATAATTACACTTCATAAAATATTTGTAGTTTTTTTTTTTGTTTATAGTATTATTGAATACTTTTCTTCAAATTCAATGCTTCTACTAATAAGGATTATATAAGTGTTTGAAATATTATGACCTAATAATTTAATTGAACCATTTTTATGAATCAAAATTTTGAAAGTATTTAGATGTTTACAAAAATCATCAATACTTTGAAAAAAATACTAAAACATCATTGATTTATACTAAAATATATTGAAAATGTGGATTGCAAATATCACTTGTCAAAATATTCCAACATTATATTCCAACTCCAAATCTAGGGCATGTGGAAGTATGTGAATAAATTAGCTAAACATTGCTTGGATATATTTTTTTTCATTTGGAATTGAATTTATTTTTGGGTTTAACTCAACCCATTTTTTCATATTTGCCTTTTATACTATTAGATAAGAAATTCAATTCTTCACCAAAATAATTTCACCATCAATAGAACCAACCAAGAATATCCCTTGTCAAAATATCTTTATTTACAATAAAAATCTAAGAGTGTTTTCTCTTGATATTTACTAAGAAGGATGCTTTCATCATAGAATCACATAGTTCCAATAAATTATAGTTATATGTTATCGTAAATTAGATTATAAAATTATATAGGGATTTAGTCCCCAATCTCTGTGACTTTTGATGATGTATATAACACATTTGCCATACAATATTTTTTGTTCTACATTATTGCAGTTATTACGAATTTTAACACATTTTAACTGAATAAGAATTTGTTCATAAACCTTTTGAGTTATGTGAGATTCATTATAAAAAATTAACTCTATTTCAACAAATTCAAAATTCCAATTCCAAGTGCATGTCTTCTTTCTATAGTTGGCTAACCCGCTTCCTAGGCTTTTCCTTGTCACATCATTATTGCTGTAAGTCCCAACTTTTCCAATCAATTCCTTTCAAACCCATCTGAGATCTTGAAACATCAATCTTTAAAACACTTACCTTATAATCATGTTTGATATATGTTAATACTTTAATTAAGATTATTCTCAGGAGCCACAACTCTTGGAACGGAATTAACCATGAGAGCTTACCATCATAGGGATCCCACACCCCAGAATAAAATAAACTCTATCTTACTTACTCCTCTAAGATAGGGGGAAATTTTTTTGTTATGCAGACCCATAAATCTTAAAGAATTTTCTCATCCAAATGGTCAAATCCATTTTAAAATAATATTTTTATTATTTAAGATAGTATATTAATATTCAAATGACGCAACCAATTATTTATATAGAAATCTTTCAAAATATAATAGAACAAGAGAAAAGAAACCCCAACCAACATCTCTCTCTCTCTCTCTCTCTCTCTCTCTCTCTCTCTCTCTCTCTCTCTCTCTCTCTCTCTCTCTCTCTCTCTCTCTCTCTCTCTCTCTCTCTCTCTCTCTCTCTCTCTCTCTCTCTCTCTCTCTCTCTCTCTCTCTCTTCCACAAACAATTCACACCACATACAAAGTGCATAATAAAACAATTCTCGGCTTATATGAATCGATACAAACACAGGGTCAAATATGTATGACACATCATAAGACACACATACTTTTTAAAATATAGGACACTGACATGTCTTTGACATGCATTATACACGCACACGCACATTATATATTTTTAAGTAATATATACTACAACAACAATAAAACCTTTATCCCACTAAGTGGGGTCGGCTACATGAGTCCTTTTTTTCTCCATTGTGTCCTATTTAGTGTCATTTTCATTTAATTCTAATAAATTATGATTTTGCCCAAGTCATCCTAGATTTACCTCTGCCTTTCTTAACCAAGTTATCTAACTAATATATACTAGTCATATAAATTAAAGAAACATGAAATAAATAAAAAAGAGCTTAATATTATAAGGATTAAAAAATAATGACATTTAAGGATAAAAAAAATATAAATGATTATCATATAATTCATAGATCAAAATAGAAGCCAATGAAAAAAAACTAAATAATTATGAAAACTATTAACTATAATAAAAATATTAAGTAATACAAAATTTTTAAAAAAGTTAGTGAAATATGACCATCAATATTTTTTTAGAAAATTACATTAAAAAAAACAAACATAAATCATTAAAACCCTTTTTTATTATATATTTTAATACTATTTATTAAATTTAATTTTAATTTTAAAAACATGTATGCGGCCAAGATTGTGCCAAAATTTTATTATATCATGTTCAAATTGGACAAGCAACAAACATATGTCTACTATATATAATGAAATTTATCACTTTATATAACTAATGTATACAAAATATTAAATTTTCTCATTCACAATTTCATTTGTTGGGGTAGGATAGCAAATCATACCTTCTTACCATGAAACCAAACCAAAAATAGCAGCTGCACTTTCTAGTTCATCAACGCAAGCAATGACCTCACAAGCCAACCTCTCCTCCTACCTTAAAACAACCACCATTCCCTTGCCATCAACATTCCATGCCGGAGCGCCGATGGGCAACGACGGAGAAGTGCTGCTGCTATCATGGCGGTCGAGCGTGTTCGGGCTGAGGGTTCAGATAGCTTTGGAGGAGAAGGGCATTGCATATACTTACAGGGAGGTGGACATCTTCGAGAAGAGCAAGCAGGTCTTGGAGTCAAACCCGATTTACAACAAAGTACCAGTTTTGATCCATAATGGTAAAGCTGTCTGTGAATCTCTCATCATCCTGGAGTATATCGATCAGGTCTGGGACCAGCAGAGTCCTTTGATGCCTGCTGATGTTTGCCGGCGAGCTTCGGCGAGGTTTTGGGCCGATTTCGTCAACAAGAAGGTGCTCTTTCTAATATTAAGTGTGGATGAGCCAGATTCGGCTTAGAAGCGACTTGGTGGTATTGGGACGGTATTGAAATGAATATAGAGGTGTTAACGAGCCGAACGCGAGTTGAGCCCAGGCTCAGCTTGTGTTCGACTTGTTTATATTTCGAGCTCAAAAAACGTGTTCTTGTTCGGCTCGCTGAGTCATAAGATGTTAAGAGTTGAGGCAAGATTTAAAAATTATTGTTTATATTAAAATATTTATTTCGAACCAAAAGGAGCCGAACAAGAACGAACAAATTTTGGTTCGTGTTCGGCTCGTTAACTTAGCGAATGAGCCTAACACAAGCTCCTTAACGAGCCGAACAGGAGTTGTTGGCGAACAACGAGACATTTTGACAGCCCTAGATGAATATCATCTCAATAACAACAATCCACACATACGAATACCGCAAGTAATATTTGTTGCTCTTTTAATTTACTTTGAAATTAAAAGGAAATTGAGTAATTGTTGTTATGATAGGTTTACGATAGCGGGAGAAGAATAAGGCACGGCAAGGGAAATGAAAGGGAAGAAGCCAAGGAGGAGTTTATAAGGAACATGAAGCTATTGGAAGGTGAGCTGGGAGAGAAGCTCTACTTCAATGGAGACAGATTTGGATTTTTGGACATTGCTCTTATTACATTCTCTTGTTGGATCCACACATATGAGACATTTGGGGGCTTTAGTGTGGAGAAGGAATGCCCTAAGCTGATGATTTGGGTGAGGAGATGCATGGAAAGGGAGAGTGTGGCAAGGACACTTCCAGCTCCTCTAGAGGTCTATGACATTGCCTGCATGGTGAGGAAGAAACTAGGGTTTGAGTAGTATGCAAAGGAAAAATGTTGTGCTGCAATTTATTGCCTTTTTGTTAATGTGTTTATGATTTGAATGGTGTTGACATTTTTAAATAATCATTTAGCAAGTTATCAAGTTTTTATAGGGGGTTATTTGGGTTGGTTCACTTAAAATTTTATTTTTTATTTAATTTTGTTTATATTTTTATATGAAATAAAGTATATTTTGTATGTTATAACATGTTTTAGTTGTTTTAGAAACACTCAAAAATAATATCTAGGAATCCTCCCTTGTATAATACCGATAAACCTATTTATACAGGGTTAGCTTATATATTATAAATAATATAGTACTATACATGAATACTAAGAGATCTTTAATCTATCATGTATTTTTTCTATTGTGTATAATAAATAAATAGTATCCTAACAATATCTTATATTTGTAATTATCCTTCTTTTCCTTTCAATAACGCTCTAGTTGGTCAACTCGGTTGTGAGATAAGTTGATTTTCCCGGGCAAGTTGATCTCATAGAGATGATCTCCTAAAGCAAATTTTCGAGCTGCCTTAGTAGAGCATCTCAATGATAATCACTAAAGGGGTGCAATCGAGTAAAATTTCTTAGCGAGTTCATTTGTCAAGTTGATCCAATCGAGCTATTTAGCTGACATGACAAGTTGCCTGGCTTTACACCTTGAATTCAATAATGGGTTTTCGTTTATACATATTTAATTCCTCGATTATCTTATCTCTTTGACAGCAAATGCTGCAAAATGAACAAGTGAATAATAATCTCCAATTGCATTTAAAATAAATATTAATATAATTATCCTACTTTAGTAACTCCTTTGAAATTTGGGTCCTTCATCAGGAAAAATTATTGCATACATACACCGCATGCAGAGATGCATGTGGTGTTCGATCCTAACCGTAGATCACGGTGATCTACGGTTAGAATGCAATCAACATTTTTTTTTTTGAAAAAAAAAATTAAAGTGGGGCCCACCGAAATACATCCTGACTGTAGATCACCGTGATATGCGGTCAGGATCGGACACCGCATGCATCTCTGCATGCGGTGTATGTATGCATTAATTTTTCCTTCATCAAAGCCTCAAATACAGAGAGGGGCCTATTTCTTAAACTTTTCTTCTCTCCAGCCTTTTTTTCCTTCTAGACTTCACTTCTTCAAACAGAGAATCATGAATATCTTAAACGATAATTTGCATTTTCATTGGTTGAACTCAGTAAGGGGTTATTTATAAAACAGAAAAAGAAAAGTAGATTTGAGAAAATAAAAAAAGAAGGGTTGATGTCATGGAAGATGGTAGTTTTCCAGAAGGTGACTTGTATGGAGACTCCGGCTAATGATTTGTTTACTCCTACGAAAGCTCAGGAGGGGTTGCCCATCATTTCTATGAAATAGCCATCACTGTTGAATTCATTTTTGTTTAAGGTGAAGGGAATGAGTAGTCAGTCTATGCCTACACAAATTTAACATCTGTTTCAGCTTCAACAAGCTCATGAGACGCATAAATGGACAGTTTTTACGTTGAACAAGATGAGTCAATTGCCTTTCCAAAGGGACGAATTGATCGTTCCATGGATTGGTACGTTGGTTTAGGGACGACACCTCCCTTCGCATTGCATATGAAATAAGTCATTAGTTCTGCTTCACCAGACAAGATGATGATCCAAAAATGAGCCTAGAAACTTGCTGGTTCACTGCTATATGAGTACAAGTAGTTGCGTGAAAGTTCTCTTATTCTATAGAAAGATTCCATGCAAGAATGGTGAGGAAGTAGCTTGACAAAGGAGCTCAATGCGGTGACAAAGAAGTCTCAGGCCGACAAGGTCGTTATGGATGGGCATCACAAGGGCTTAGATAAATGCTAAAAAGAATTGAAGAGTATTAACTTGACTATTGCTATGGTGATCGACTTGGCGGAAGCTCATCGATAACGAGTTGATGCTTTAAGAGGATAATTATTGGCACCACTTTTGATGTCATACTTGGGGTGTCCACTTGAATGATATAGGGTTGTGCTCAGCCTATCGTAGTCCAAGACATTCAGTTGTACTTCTTGGTACGTGCTTCGGGCACGAGTCCATGACCGGCACCGATTCATCCCTAGCAGTGAGAGCTTACTTGTGGGTGGCGATTATTCTGGCACGGGGCGTGTTTAATGTCTATTCTGATATTTAGAGACCATGCTCCGTCAATTCGGAGCCTCCCGTGGTCAAGAGCAGTCACAATACTCTCCTAAAAGCGTTATTGAAAAAATTGGGTTCAAACGAACCTACCGCGTAGGGTTCTGGGATGCTTGTTGGCATTAAAATCTCTGAAATGAAACCTCCAATATGTTTATTTTTGAGATATGAGGTTTCTCATTGCTTCTGGATCAGTAGAACCCATCCCACGGGCATCCGGGCGCAAAATTGGGTTTTAGTTCGTTTGGGCCGTTTTGATCCTGGGCGACGATTTCGCCCGATACGGCGCATCCCCAGTGTCCACCTCGATGTATGGAAGCCTATTTTCGTTCTTGGATATCCTTTGGTGGTCCAGGGATCCATAAGAATCCTCCCCAAAGAGCATAAGCAAAAAATGGATGAAAAAAAAATTGAATTTTTTTAGGGGCGGCGCCTAAAAGCCACCCCATGGGCGCGTAGGCGCCCAACATGTATGCCCTTTTTGCGGCAACCCGAGAGGTGGGGTTCATACCAAACAACCCGCGCGGGGATCTGGGACTTCTGTTGGCATTAAAATCCCTGAAATATAACCTCAGAATGTTCATTTTTTGAGATAATGGGGTTTCCCATTGATTTCAGATCAGTAGAAACCTTCCCACGGGCATCCGGGCGTGAAGTTGGGTTTTAGACTGTGTGGACCGTATTTGACCCTGGGCAACTATTTTCGTTCGATATGGCACATCCTCAGTGTCCACCTTGATGTACGGAAGCCTATTTTCGTTCTTGGATATCCTTTTGAGGTCCAGGGATTTATAGGAATCCTCCCCAAAGAGCATAAGCAAAGAATGGATGAAACAAAGAATTGAAACTTTTTTAGGGGTGGCGCCTAAGAGCCACCCCATGGCCGCATAGGCGCCCAAAAGGTATGCCCTTCTTGTGCCAACCCGAGAGGTGGGCACTTATGCGCCCACTTATGCGCCCACCCTGCTAGCGCATAGGAGCCCTTCCTGCGCTCACCCTACTGGCGCATAGGCGCAAGCTTCATACAGGGGCTCCCATTAGCGCCAGGCTGAGAAGGGGCGCGTATGTGCTCTTAATTGGGCACTTAGGCACCTCGTTATGTGCTCCGAAACAGAGAGATGGGCACATATACGACCACCCTCTGTCGTGTATCCACCCAACTCAAAAATGCCGCAAACCGCTTCACGGCAAGTCAAAATTGGCGGAGTCGTTGTGCATTACCTGGAGGATTGCATAGCTATTATACTTGGTTATTTTACCATTTATGGGAGTGATACAAGTGGTGAAAATCCTATTTCCATTTTTGGATCAAAATCCATTTAAGAAATGGCTAGGTGGCGCCGATCCAATGGATTTTCGCAAATGAGGATGGCTAAGCAGGCTGGCATCGTGGAGAGTGTGATTGTCATGAATTCATTCTAAGAGAGTTAGGAGAGAGCTTTTGGAGAATTTTTTAGGGGTTTTTGAATATTTGGTGAGGGATTTCTTCCCTTCGCTCCTTTTTCTACTTCACCTTCTCCATCTTCTTCATTCTTCTTCTTCTCAATCATCCCTTGGATCCCCAATCCAGTCTGAGGAGAGTTGTGGGAGCCTGAGGAGAGCTATGAAGAGCTTGTGGAGGGATTTTGGAGAGATTCTTGAATGCTTTGAGAGTTCTTCCCCTTCCTTCCTCTTCCATAGTCCTCCTTTCACTCCTTTCTTCCATTTTCTTCTACTTCTTCCTCTCCGTTTACTTTTTTGGCCACCACTTCGCTGGAGAAGACATAAGAAGAGAAGGATTTCTTGTGCGACATCTCACTGGAATCTCCTCCTTGAGGAGAGCTTCTTCATACTTTGGAGAAGGGCCTTCGCCAGAGTTCGAGGCGTTGCCAAAATTTCCTTGCGAAGAGAGCTTCGTCATTCTTTGGACAAAAGCGTGGGCCTCTTCTCTCCTTTTGACTAGAACTTCTTTTCGAACTTCGTCGGACATCGAGCAACCTTCATGTTGGCAAGATTCTCAAAAACCTTCGCATTTTTTTTCTTAGCTAGCCCAAGGGCTAAATTTTGCTAGGTATTTTGGGTTTCGTAGCCCACACGAGGCAGGTTTAACCGTATTGTCCGGCTCCATCGATTGTTTGTTATCGAACAATATGATGGGTTGAACGATACCAGTCGGCCAAGCCAAACGACTTTTTATTGGCCAGTTTTTTGGTGCGTGATGGGTTTTGATCGACCAAACTAGGCAAATTGGCTGGCCAACACTAGTTAGCATGACCATACACATATTGATTAACCAATTTTATATTAGAGAAAGCCCTATGTTAGGACTTTACATTCGTGGTCAAATCCCTAGCGAAGCCAAAAGTGTTCCTTGCAGGCCTCGAAATCCCAATTTCCCATGCTTGTAGTGGTATCTAATCATCTGTGGAGGGATAGGAGCATTGCACTTGCAAAACAGGAAAAGCTTTGTAGCTAGTCCATTTTGCAAGTGGAAGAGAATTGTTCCTTCGAGCAATCGAGAGGGGAATTTCCTGCACTTGCTCGCTACAATTGGAGGCAGCTTTACCGCATATCCACGTGTGAAAACCCTAGGTACCTATGCGCCGATGAGACAACGTGTCGTCGAAGTATTTTGGGTTGCATTTCTTGCATGCTAATTTGAGGCGTTTTGCATATTGTATGCTTGATCGCATTAGCACTTCAATTTGATCGGCCGCCCCGACATGTTTTGGATCTCTTTGGGTATCCATGCTTGGGGTGTCTTTCTGAGCACCCCCACTTACGGTGTCTCTTTGAGTGCCCACACTTATAAGTGTCTTCCCCGCATACGATGTTGTATGCACAGGGATGGACACTTGCACAATTTGGGAGGAGTTGACTCACTTATAGGCCATATATCTCCATCCCTATGACACTGCCTAGAGTCTCGTAGGTATTTCACATTATGTTAAGTACAAGTCACGCTTCATAGCCACTG